TTTTTAGAATTTTATGGGAATTATGTGCAAGTTAGGCTAGAGTATTTAGGTGAGGCTAGAGATGATCTTATATGTGTAGTGAACTTATTGGGATTTTTTATTCTCTAATGGTTTGTAAGTTTTATACATTTGAGTAAGTAATTTTCTTTTATCATATTTCTTCTTCTTATCAATATATTTTATTGTCAACTCTCATATAAATCTAGTCAAGCTTTTTTTATGTGATTGTTGCATTATATGATATATTGATCGGTATTATTTTATGAGTAGTCTTTTACTGCATTATTGCCAACGGTATATTGTCGCTCTTGGATTTCTCATAAGATAATTTTTCCTAATTCTAAATGTTAGAATTTTATTTACTCGAATACATTTTTAATTCATATGTTCTTCAAATATTTATTTTCTGATTGTTTGTTTGGGATGTGAAACTTTCAATTGAGTCAATTTATGAATCAAAATCCAAATAGGTGAACAAAGCATATGGAGGATTCTCAAAGCCTTACCACTTTTATTTATTGAATTTTCTCCATTTTAAATTGTTCATAAAATCATTAAAAACACTCATTCTTTTTCTTTGTTTGATTGCTTACTTTCCTAACGCTTTTTTTTATTTGCTAATCATTTCTTGTTCAATTTAACACTTCCTTGTGGGATCGACCGTTCAAATTGTACTACAATTGACCGCTTGTTTTTGTACACGTTTGGGCGTAATCACTAGTCCATGACTCAATATATTAGTATATTATCCCCATAGGATATCCATAATCAACTGGAGGTCAAGTTCCGTTTTACCTTCCCGATTATATTTATCTTAGGTTCCATTATCACACCATCGGAAAACCACTATTCGTACCATTAAAAACAGTAAACCATTATATAATATATAGTAGTCTAATGGCCGAGCGCTCATATTTTTTAATCCACTGATAATGCATAATAGGATATCATTGACTCTTTATAGGAGCTATGGATTCCATTATCTATAAATAACGAATTTACGCATACACGAGTCATACCCTCAATGTACCGGTAAACGTACCTTTACATAATGTCAGGATGTCTCCCTTTACTACATCAAAGGATACAAGTCAAGCATACGGGTTCATTATCCATCTTAGGATTAAGATGACAACATATAATTCGTCAAAAGTGAATTATTTTACTCAAACAGATTTATTAATTAAAACAATTCAACTTTGGTCCGATCCAATATAGATTTCACCATTGGAAAATATATCAACGTCTCTATCCATGGAGTCCCACCTCCAATGTCCAAGACAAGCCGTCTCCGTTAGGAAGTAGACAACATAACAATCTTAACATGAATAAAGCGCCCAACTTTATTCCCTCGATTGTGGATCATATGATTTAAACTATCATCTTTAGATTCCTGTCTTCCGCATGTTTTTCACATTACATGCATGACCTAAAGATTTAGAATGACAGTCTCAGACTTTTAGTTTGCTTATCATACATTCAACTAACATGAACATAAAGAGGACAATACATATATATATGAAATAAATAAATCTTTATTAATAATTAAGTCTCAAAGAACTGTTGGGAATGGTGTCCTAGAAACATGAGATATAATAGGATATTTATTATTTATTTAATAAAAGAGTTTATTCATTATTTTATGTGCATATATTTATGAATATCAATGAAAATTTCATGATTATTTATGTGACCTTAAACATTGTATATAAGTGTTATATACGAGAGGATAATGTTTAAGGATAATAATAAAAAAACAATGTTCATAGTGAATTTAATTAAAGTTCAGAATCTTTAATTAAAACATTATTAATAAATTTCATTCCCATTTATAATGGAACGGTGTTATCCGCACTGTTAATATGGCGAGATATTGAATGAGTGTATTTCGCATAATAAGATTATGTGAAACAAGGACACAGACACAATATGAATTTCTAATAATTCCGTTAAGTATAGAAATTCTAATTGAGTCTACCGATAGTCATATATAGAATGGTCTTAATCCTGAGTTCTTAACAGACTCCTATTTATGGATTTGTGTCTTTTGATTTACTCGGTACGGATTCTGAGATCATGAATCCCATTCTTTGTATTTTGGAGACGTGATGAAGTAGGTAGCCGAGAATGTTATTATACGAGATGAAATTCATTCCTTCTTGAGAAAGAAATAGATAAATAATTCTCTTGAGGGTTGATTCGGTACTTGGACCAGTAGGAGCTCCGATTCATGAATGTGTTTTATGAATCACTGTCCATTAGAGAATCAATGGTACTCAAGGATAAAGATATAATTAGAGAGGTTAACAGATTTTACCTAGCTCTAATTATGAATTATTTATGGAGGATCGATCTATATGCAGTGACTATATCGAATGGACACTTCACAGTTTAGAAGTAATTTATATCTATAATTTCGAGAGTTTAATTCCAAGTTTATAGTGGAATAACTATTGGAATTAATAGAATTAATTAATTAATTAAAGTGTTTAATTAATTATTAATTTTATTGGAGCTTAGGATTATAGGTCCATTAGTCCCTGCGTTGTCCTAGTAATTCTACACGACACAAAGGGCAAAATGGGAATTTTAGAATTACGGAATTCTAAAATTAAACACTCAAAAATAATTAATTGAGAATTAATTATTATTTAAATAATGTGATTATTTAAATTTGAATTTGAACAAATCTAGATTTATCCATTTAAACTTATTTGATAAGTTGTTCAATTTAAAATTCAAATTAATTTAAGTTTGACTTAAATTGGAATTTGAATTTGAGTCAAAATTAGACTACAGGATCAAGGATGATTTTCTCTTCCTTCCCTAATGGATATTGGCGCCTATACAGGTATGAGAATCCCCTACAATGGCCGGCCATAATGGATAAAGGAAAAGAGGAGATTTTGTTCCAAATTAAAATATGAGATAATTAACAAGCTTTATCTTGGAGATAGAGATTGGATTCTTTCTAGAAGTTTGACTTCTACTCTATAAATAAGAGAATGATAGAAAATTGCGTGAGACAATTAGACAATTTTTGAAACAATTTTTCTGCCCTAATTTGAATAAGGTGGCCAAATTTCTCTATAGAGTGAGAAGGAAAATTTTTTCTCCAAAAAAAAAATCCACATCATGCATGCGTTGGTGTTTGTGGAAATTCGAGTGTTTATTCTAACCCGTTTTGTCTCATGTGTGCCCACACACACGTCTTCGTGGATTCTAGGAATTGACGTGAAAGACATTGGTTTTCTAAACACAAAGCTTTGGAGCAAGGATTGTTCGAGGTCAAAGAACTCAAGTTATCATCCTAATCGGCCGCCAGGTATTATTCGTGATTGAGTTCTTAATAAATAAATTAATGTGATTAATTTATTCATGCATAAATTAATATAATCTATAGAATATCTCAAAGATTTTATGAAAATTTTTGTTATACACGATCCGCCTCCCCCACGCTTCCGCATCCAAATTCGATTCGGTAACCAACAAGAACATCGTTACATTTATTCCTAAGGGTATAAACGCTAACATTTCTTTCTTTCTTTTCACCTCTTCTATTCTTTATGTTTTTTAACCTTTTCTAAAGGATTAATATAGTTGAAAGTTACTTCATTGAGTGAGCATATAGGCTTTACCATGAAAATGACATGTTTCCCCTCCCACTAAAAGAGTAAACTAAAAGTTCTTAGCGTTAATAATCTCTTAATTATTTGATTTAAGCTAATTTATATAAGGCACTTTGAAATTTTCTTCACTTACAAGTTGGACTCTACCCACTTAATTCTGACATTTGAGAACCTTATTTCATCAATGCAATCTAACTGATGGCATAATTTTAATTAACGAACAACAAAAAAGCCTCAAATGCCAAAATTAAACAAGTTAAGGTCTAATTTATCCACGGATGAAAAGTTGAGGTGCAAAATAACAGAGCCTTTTTATTATGGCAACGAAATTTCAAATATAGAATTTGACTTGTCAAAATGTAAACGTCATTTGCATATGATTGATTTATGAGTTATTTAGTTGGGAAATTCGTACCCTGATTCGAATAATGGTTCATAATTCGCTACAGTATTTATTCTCACAAAAAATACACGTAAATTAAAAATAATTCTAATCTTATGATTTTAATCCATGAACCAAACGTAGTATTAATGTTGATGCGCATGTCAAAATAAATATGGATTTCTTGGGTGCAGCCTAAAAGAAACTCCCAGGCTTCTTCTGACCTCATATGGTTGAGTGCTTGACGGGTAGGGAAGGGGTGAACCTTACAAGCTTGTGACTCTTCTCAAATTACATTCTTGAATCGAATAACATGGTTTGAGAAATCCAAAATGTTTAGTCACAAGTTCTAGAAGCTGTCATCAATGATAAAAACTTGAAACAAAAAAAAAAACCATATTCTCGACACGTCTCAAAAGCAGGTTATTTTCTGTAATTTCCGGTGATATTATTGGAAATATTGAACAGGAAGTTCCCCTTGCCTGGTGGCGGGCTACTTTATGGTTAACCGTGTTTTTTTTTTTTTTTTAATTGAATACTTCTGTTGTGTAGACTGCTGTAAAATCTATGTATCATCTGCTTCTCTAAAAAATGCACTTCATTTTCAATACATGTATATATTGTACTTAACCAATTAGAATTGACAAACCTGTTTAAAATTAGTCCGATGGGCAATGAACCCAGATAATAGCAATCAGATCAGTAAGATTAAAGACAGATCACGCTCAAAAATCAAAATTCATTTTTTTAGAGAAAAAAAATTGCGCATAAAAAAATAAAAAAGAGAGCTCCGGCTCTTGAAATCGACAAAAATTTATCATCGTCATCATGATCATGTTCAGACCCTTACAAGGGGAAAATTTCTTGGGTTGATTCAACCTTGAAAGACACTGTTCTTCAGAAGCTATAACATAACACGACTTAACAGACGAAATATATCTTTTGGTAAGAGGAGAGTGAATAAAAAGAGGTGGGGGGTCAGCAAAGAAAGAAAAATGGAGAGGGTTGAGATGTGGACTTGAGGACACACAAACAGAGCAAAGAGTATTGAACCATTTCTTCAGAGTCAAGTGCCTGACCGTCAAATGCTTAAAAGATCTTAAAAAGCAGGCCACCATGCGTCGCAAAGAAAGGCGCGAACACAAGCGACTCGACAGCCATGAGCTTGATAAGAATGTTGAGCGATGGCCCAGATGTGTCCTTCAGGGGATCACCGATGGTGTCACCAATGACGGCTGCTTTGTGTGGGTCGGAACCTTTGGGACCAAGGGTTCTCGCATGCTCAGAAGCTCCAGCCTATTATATAATAGAATATGGAGTTATTATATACCAAAATCGTTACCAATAAAACAGCGATCCTAGAATTTAACTGAAATGCTTACCTCAATGTATTTCTTGGCATTGTCCCAAGCACCACCAGTGTTGGAGGCAGAGATGGCAATCTGTCAATTCATGAACAATATATGAATAGCTTCCTTTCAAGTCAAATGCATACAGATATTGTCAAGCAAATTAATAGTCTTACCTGGACACCAGAGACGAGGGATCCGGCAAGAACACCAGAGAGGGTTTCCACGCCAAAGAAGATTCCAACAATGAGGGGGGTGAGCATCACTAGGGCACCAGGTGGGATCATCTCCTTGATGGAGGCATCGGTTGAGATCTTAACGCAGGTGGCATAGTCTGGCTTGGCAGTGCCCTCCATGAGACCCGGGATGGTGTTGAATTGCCTGCGCACTTCCTCAACCATCTTCAGAGCTGCGCTTCCCACACTCTTCATTGTCATGGCAGAGAACCAGTATGGAAGCATTGCACCAACGATCAAACCAATGAATACTTTTGGAGTCAACACATCAACAGTTGAGATGTTTGCACGGCTCACAAACGCACCGAAAAGGGCAAGGGATACAAGGGCAGCAGAACCAATAGCAAAACCCTAAAAATAGGACAAGAAATCTATTAGCTACAATCGTCTTCTGGTAAGAGTTTCCCTTCATGCCACTTGCACGTACATGAATGACTTCCGTCGAAGACAAACTGAAGATAATTCATTTGTTATAGTGACAATTGAGGACAAATTTATGCTCTTATTAAGATACAAATAACTTTTGTCAACTCATAATTAGAAGGAAAAAAAAATTTAAGAACATAATCATGGACACTAGCATCCAAGTAATGACCCACAGAACTTATGCTTGCTGAATTATACATAGGATAGGATTGTAACAAGTAAAAAAAAGTGAGCAGCACTTGGCACGAGAAATTTTCAAACCTTTCCAATAGCAGCAGTGGTGTTTCCTGCAGCATCAAGAGCATCAGTTCTCTCTCGGATCCTGTGGCTCATGCCTGCCATTTCAGCAATGCCTCCCGCGTTGTCACTGATTGGGCCATATGCATCAATGGCCAATCCAGTTGCTATGGTACTCAGCATTCCAAGGGCAGCCACAGCGATACCATACATGGCAGCAAAGCTAAAGCTAACAAAAATGCTGACTGCAATAGCAAAAATAGGAATAATGACAGATTTGTATCCCAATGCGAGGCCAAAGATAACATTAGTAGCAGCTCCAGTACGGCAGGAATCAGCAACATCTTGCACAGGGCTACATGTTATTAAAAGCAAGTCAATCTTAAAAGTTATCGGACACCAGAACAGGACATATGAGAAATACTTTAATACCAACAAAACAAATACCTGTATGCATTGCTAGTATAATACTCGGTCACAAAACCAATGATAAGCCCAGCCCACAAACCGACGGCGACACATAGGAAAAGCTGCCTGCAAGTTCAAAAAGGTTTTGGTACATGAAAGAATCCGATGCTTTTATAAACACCAATTATTGCACGAACACTTCAAAAATAATACACCATGAATAGAGCACCATTTTCTTATGCAAAATATATCCCTAAAATAGAGAACAAGAGCTCACCAGTTCGTTACTTCTTTCTGTGTTCCAAAGTTAAAGATGGTGAAGGAAGGTGGCAGGGCAATCCAACTAACAATAGCAGTTGCAACAGTCATCAGAGCAGTGGAAATGATCAGCTGCCTCTTTAGTGCTGGTTCAATTTCCTTCACAGCCTTAATCTCAAAGAAATCGGTTGCAAATAAGGTAGTGAGCAAGCACACAATGATACCAACAGAACTGACGATGAGAGGATATAACATTGGAGTCAACTCATGATTGATCCCGAAGGAGGAGATGGAAGCAACAACTAGGGCGGCACAAGAGGACTCGGCATATGAGCCAAAGAGATCTGATCCCATACCCGCAATATCACCAACATTGTCACCAACATTATCGGCAATCACCTGACAGCATGAAAATACAGATATAAATATGGGACGAAGCAAAAATGTTAGAATCTAGAAGCGACACTGAGAGTGGTGATGCTTACAGCTGGGTTTCTTGGGTCATCCTCAGGAATGTTCCTCTCAACCTTGCCAACGAGATCAGCACCGACATCAGCAGCTTTGGTGTAGATACCACCACCAACTCTACCAAAGAGAGCCATGGAAGATCCACCAAGCCCATAGCCAGTAATAGCTTCGAAAAGACCTTCCCAGTCATCGCCATAGTAGAGCTTGAAGAGATTAATAGTAATGAAAAGAACCAAGAGACCGTTTGCAGCAAGGAGAAATCCCATAACAGCACCAGACCTAAATGCAGTTATAAAAGCTTTGCCAACTCCTTTTCTTGCCTCAAGTGTTGTTCTGGCATTTGCATATGTAGCAATTTTCATTCCGAGAAAACCAGAAACCACTGAAGTGACGGCACCCAGCAGAAAGGACACAGTGCTGAAAATAGCATTTGCAAGAGCTGGCTTGCACAATTTTGTTGCGTCATATGTGCATGGCTGGCTCTTCGTGCTGAATCCCTCCACAGAGCCAAGGAAAAGGAAAATCAAGATTGCAAAAGCCACCATGAAAACGCCAACATACTGATATTCGGTGAAAAGGAAAGAAGTTGCTCCTGTAACATTCGTGCATCAAAAAGTCAGTGTAACTCAATCCTCACCGCACAAAGGAGGAGACTTTTTCATGTTCAAGACAAGGAGATTTGTGCAGCCACAAACCATAAGTACAATGAACCATTACTAATGAATTTATGACAAAATCAATCCTGAAAAGGAAAATGACAAAATTCAGTGTAAGTGTATTATTAACCTTAGAGTTGAATCTTATTTCCCAAATCAATCATATCTTGTAAATGTTGCCTAGTAATTTTGAAACATTTCAATGACTACCAAGCCAAAATATATAAAATTTAGCAATTTTGGATTATTTCTTCTGAAAAAGGAACAACAAATGAACTCCTCGTAAACAACACAAAATATGCCCCAACTAGTTCCAACTTCCTAAGGAGATCTATATGTGACAAAAATAAAATAAAATAAAAATCCTTAGAAAGCAATAAACAGCTATAACAATATAGATTCCAAAGTCCAACATCGAATTGTCGAGTATTATTGAAAATAATTCAGATCCAGTAAGGCCAAAAAGGCAGGCAGTTAAAATACTGACTAGAAGTTCTTGTCAAGTTGGTCAGGCAACAAAATCAATAAATTCTATCTAGTATTATTTTAAAAAATCTGTCCAGACGCAGTATTAATCAAAACACAAACTTCGTACAATAGAACTGGTACTTACGAACTTCGCACATAAAAAGCAGAACAAAAACGAACCGAGGTTTTTTTTATTATTTTTTATTTTTTTATTTTTTTTAAGAATAGGAAACAGCATAGCTATACCCAATAACGGAATAGCGTATAAAGAAACCAATTATGTCATAGTGTACAAAGTTTTTAGTGTGATTCTCCACACCCATGTGCAGTACTTTGAACACTATTTAGTTCAAGAAAATTCGATACTAGATCTGAAGAAATTCTGAGGAAAAATAACAAGAAACAGTAACAATGAGATTCAACGTTGATTACAAAATAAAAATAACAATCAACAGTGTGTGGGCCCTGGTTCCAGAAACAGCAACAATCAGATCTAAAATCTAATTTATAAAATAAAATCAATTCAAATTCAAATAAAATAAAAAATGATAGTGCATAGAGCTTTCCAGCGGTTCATCTTACGCAACATTAATCATAATAGCATAAAGTGTTAAAAATTTATCATCAAAATTAAAATAAAAACAAAAACAAAAAACAAAACAGGTTTGAACAATTTATATTAAAAATACATCTTTCTAATGCTAACATTAAGACATAAACCTAACTAAACGATAATGAAACCTCACATTCCATTAAAAAAAAAAAAGATAATGAAACCCTAAGCAGAAATCAGCTCGTGACTTGGTCAATAATCATGAAAATGAAAGCGCAACAAACAAAACGACGTCGGATCTAGCCGAAATCTCGGAGCCAAAAACTTCCAGAAACCGAAAAACTCAATCTTTAAACCAAATCGAAAACGGCAAAAAATTCAAGAGTTAGATATAGATATTATATGTATATTATACGTATGAACAGAGAGAGATAGAGAGAGAGAGAGAGAGGAGAGAGAGACCATCGGAAATGGCTCTCTGGATTTCGGCGCACTTGAGAACGACGTTGTGGTCGTTGAGGCCTTCCTCCTCCTCGATGAGGTAGTCGGTGTAGCCATTTTTGCCGTTGTTCTGAGCTTCCCCCGCCGGCGAGAGCTTGACCTGGGAGACCAGGAACCACTGCACCAGCGAGAACACGATTCCGACAACCGCGCACGCCGGGATCAGAATCTCGGTCCCGAGATCTGGCAGAATCGCCGACCCCATAGCTGAAAGAAAACGAAAAAAAAAAAATAGACAGATAAACAAAGGTGTTTTTTGGCGGTGAGAGGGATAACAAAGTATGAGAGAGTCGAGGAGTTGTAGGGCTTGTATATATAGGTGGAAGAGAGAGAGAGGGGGCTTGTATATATAGGTGGATGAGAGAGAGAGAGAGAGAGAGAGAGGGGGGGCTTGTATATATAGGTGGATGAGAGAGAGAGAGAGAGAGAGAGAGAGAGAAGAGATATGAATGAAATGAGGTAGACGACGCTACGACGAGGGACAGTGAGGGCGTGTGGTGGAAATTATACAAAAATCTTATTACAAAATCAACGGAAAATACATTATTTTAAAAAATTGGGTAGATTTGTTCAAAAATATAGAGAGGGAGATAGTGCCAAGTGGCCAGTAGATCTGTTCGCTTTTTTTGCTTTTTTATTCTTTTTTACGTTTGAAATTGATTCTAAAACGTTTTTATTTTTTGTACGAAAATAAAAATGAAAATATTTTTAGTTTTATTTTTAAATTATTTTTAAAAATACGTTTGATAGTTTTCTTTAGAGATTGATTTCAGTTTTAAAAAAAAACTAAAACTGCGTTTGGTAGTTTAATTTTTGAAAACATGTAATAATATATTAAATAATAATATATTAAATAAATAATATTATTAAATATATTAAATAAATAATATTATTAAATATATTAAATAATAATATATTAAATAAATATATTAAATAAACATATATAATACAAAAACGGTTTCAGAAAATAGGGAAGAAAATGAAAAAGAAAAAAAAAGTGAAATCCGTTTTTCAGAAAACAGAAAACGAAAACGAGAAAATGAAAATACCTTTTTTTCGTTTTCTGATTTTCACAAAAAGACAAAAATGTTTTTGGTTTTGTTTTTTAAAAAAAATTGTACCAAACACGTTTTTAACACCCGTTTTCATTTTTTTACTTTGAAAACCGTGAAAAACGAAAACGAAAACGCAAACAAACAGGCCCTTCATTTTTTGGTTCTTATTTTTTACTAGTAGTTTTATAGGTTTCTTGGAAAATGATTAGTAATGGGAAGCAACGGCACTACAGTTTTTCTTACGCAGTCAATTTTGTTGTATTTCCGTTCTCTATTTAGAATATGTTTGTTAGTAATTTTTTTTTTCATCTTGATCCTCTCCGATGTAAATATTAATGTTAATTATACTCATGTGAGCATGTTTTATTTGCACAATAACACGATTTTGCATATATTTTTTTTCTAAATAAAGTTTTATTCGAAACCCCACTACTTGAACTAGAGTGTACTAAGATTGAAATCCTAATAGTTTCTTGTATAAAGTGGGCCTATTATATAAGACATACATTTCTTTATTTTTTTCAAAGTTAAATAAGACAAAAAATAAAAATACCCTTAAATAATTCTTTACAAAGTAATACTCTTTGTAGCTTTTATAGGATATATACACGCACGCTGTATATTATGCACTTTAGCAAGTAATTTTTTGTTTGTAAATTAAATTACCATGATAAAGTTCATGTTTGTAGATCACAAAATAAATACCAATTCCATTAAAAACCAATACACAATTCAGTTCTATACTAATGATTAAAAATGGGCTATGAACGTGTTTTTTTATTTTTTTTAATCACTATAAAAAAGGTAGCTCCCTTTGCCTCACATGACACATGGCAGTGCTGAAACTTTGGACGGGTCACCCGTGACCACCGAAAAGTCTGAATTTTTGCCCGATGACCGAACCCGATCTGCCCGAAAATTCAGGCTGCCCGACCCGACCTGAAAATTCCCATGGACGAGCTTCGGGCAGGGGAAGCCTGCCCGTGCCCGGTCGGGCTGCCCGATGCCCGACCGGCTGCCCGAATTTTTTTTTTTTTTTATATTATATTTTTATGTTGTTGAAATAAGTATTTGTATAATTAGAATGTGTAATTGTGTATATTACAATTTGAAATATGAAATGAACACACGACACGAACGAACTATATAAAAAAAAATTACTTATTCATTGATTTTTAAATTTGTAATTCATGATTGCCTCATTAAAAACCTTACCGAGAAAAACCCAATTGGGGTAAAAACTTGATAAGGAAAACAGAGTGCAATCATTGTGGGACGAATTACAAATTTGATGCACTTACAAAGTCTATACAAGATTACAAATTACAATAAACACTATACAAATTAGAAATTACAAAGTAAATAAATATTTACAAAGAAATTATCAAGATGAAGCAGAATGATCATCTTGAAAATTAAAAGTTAATATATTAAATTCGTCGATCCATTCTTAGTTTGCCGGTGAGATTGTATCGTGTAAGCGTTGGTCGGAACGGTCCCAATCCTTGATGCACACCAAAGCTTCAACAATATCCTGCTGCAATGCGTTTCTCCGTTCTTCAAGTATTCAGCCGGTTGTACTGAATGCTTGTTCGGCTGCAACGGTGGAGACCGGGATTGAAAAAATATCCATTGCCAGTCGTGTTAGGATTAGCCAAGTTAATGCTCGTGCCCTCCACCACTCAACCAAATCAAACACCTCACTACTGTCTTCAACTAAGCCCTCACTCAGGTACGACATTAACTCGTTGAATCCGCCACCACCTCTTGATGAAGATCCACTTCCTCTCTCAGATTCTTCTTGACCTTGACTCGTCGTCGTCGTCTTCTTCTTCTTCTTCTTAGACAACCCGAAAACATATGAATGAAGATTGTCGTCTCGTTGTTGCGATTGTTCAACACGAGGTGTGTTTCTAAACCTACTTTCGTAAGAGATATATAGAGAATATATTTTTTCCTTTATAATAGGAAACTGGTCAGTAGTGTCTATAGCTAAAAATTCACCTAAGTTATCTAATCCACTTTCTAAACCTTCTAATTTTAATATAGGGTCAAAAATAACACCGAAACCATACAACATGGGTAATTTAGACCAATATTTTTTAAACTTCTTTTCCATAGAGGCGATAGGAACTCCTAAAACCTCATGTGTCCTAAATTCACTAAATAAAATAGACATTCTTAAAAGTTCTCCTAATGCTAATGGTGAAGTTGGGTAATAAGTTCCACTAAGCTTTAAGGTAACTTTATGAAATCTACCTAAAAGTTATACAAAAGTTCGGCAATTTGCCAATCAATTTCATCTATAAATCCTGTTCCTAATTTTGCACTAACATAATTTGTTATAGCATCTTTATAGGGGATGCATTGTTCAAGCATTATGTAAGTGGAGTTCCATCTTATGGGCATATCTAAGGCTAATGCTCTAGGATTTTGATTACATGCTTGTAGAAATCTAAACCAATCTTGTATTCTTTGATTACTACCTTGAATCCAAGCAATGTTATCTCTAATTCTTTTAATAGGACCTGACATTGATTTTAAACCGGACTTTACAATTAAATTAATTATATGACATGCACAACGTTGGTGAAAAATATCATTATTACTAAATAAACTTAAATCATTTTCAAAAGTTCTATTGGCTTTAGTATTCGCAGTTGCATTA